TTATAGAGCAGTAATAACATAAACAACATAAAAAAAAAATAAAAAAAAATGAAAAACTTTTTTTTCTAAAATTTGAAAAATTTTCTATGAAAATCATCCCCCCACACGCCATATAAAGTACAAAACAATAGAGTTCGCTCCTTGTAACAATTCAATTATGGCAAATAAGCTTCGTGCAACCAATTTGGAACGATTTATAGGACAGATTAAATCTCCGCTTACTCGTTAATAGCGCGAATTATATCGCGCGCTAATTGTCCCAAATTGGTCAAATTGGCCAAAATGGCAATCTTTAAACCCCCATAACTTTACGAAAAATGATCACAGGTGAAATATCTTTTCAAATTTGAGCTCAGGACAACAATACCTTTCGAATGATATACAAAACAATTCCGTCAAAAATGGCTAGATAAAAAGTCGAAATTTGTCTGAAGAAAAAAAAAACCCACCCCGAGCACAAATATTCCGTTACTTTCGTATCGAAAGTCGGAACAAAAACCCGCTGTGGTGAATGTTATAGAGATGAATCTTTTTTAGTGTACCAAATTTTTCGAAAAAAAATTGTCACAAAACATTTATAGCCATTTTAGCATCTTTTTCATGCACTTGAAAAATTTAACGTTGATCTATCTGAAGCCTTTTGGCAAGACCATTTTCTAAATGAAATCGGCAAAACTAATCAGACACACAAGACAGAATTAATTGATTGGGTCGGAAATGGGAGACCCTAAAAGTTATCCTGACTGACTGCTGACTAGACGGCTGTCTGTAAATCAGGCTAACATTTATTAAGTTCACTTTTATGAAATTCAAACACCTGAAATGCAATACCTTGAAACTCAAATTGAAAGAAATAAAGCTTATAACGAATCAGCTTACCATAACTAATTTTTGAAGCATTCATTTTATTAACCAACGAACCCTTAACTAAATTAAAGATAAGGTAAGATAGGGTAGGGTTTCATTTTGCTGACAATTTTTTAACACAATTTTGATCTCATTTCATGGTACGTCGAGTTTATTTCACTCGAATAAACTTGTACTCAATAATTAGGGTATGGTAATTTTTATTGTCATCTAGTTAACTATACGGTTTTTATCCAATATATTGAAGCTTAGCTTTGACTCAACATGTGAACATTTACTTACTATTTCAATTTCGGAAAAAAATAATTAGAAATCGAGGAATTTATAGACCAAAAACTTGTTTATTTTTTTTATTATTTGTTTATCAAATGAATACAATAGATACAATTTAAAATCAACAAACTTTAAATTGAAGAATCTGAAAAGCCCCGAGAGGCTCTAATAAGATTATTTACGCCACATGGAGCCACCGAAGACGTACCATCTTTTTTCAGTCTAACAGAAAGACTGTACATGTCATCTTAACATAATTAGTTACCAATATAATAACTACAATAAACTATTGAACTATCTTGCTCGCAAGCTTACTTTTATGTCTGATCTATCGTTAATGAAGTCTAAAGACATTTGTTAAATTTTTATTACAAGACTTTTGCTTATGTTTTGATAGATTTCGGAGTTACAACCTGACTTATTTTGCTCTTATGGTTGTTTTAGATGTTAAATATTTGAAAAAAGTGTGACAATTTGTTTGAAGATCGTTTTTCGTTTCGGTTCTGTTATTCTCTCGGAACGAACCAAAAAAAAACCTTATCCTTCATATTTTCTTCATTGATTAGTTAGCTTATTGATTTGACTCTCTGCTGACTTTTTGAAGCCATCTTTTGAAGGTCAGCCCAAACATTTCCTCAAATTCTACATGACTCATTAAACTGATTTTTCAATTCAGTTTAACTTTGCGGTCAAGTCATTTTTCTACCAGACACAAACTAGACTATAGTAACAAATGAATAGTAATAAATGACAACTAGCTATCAAACTCAGGCTACAGCTGGCCACTTTGATGAAGATAAATGACGACTTCAAAACGCAGCACGACATCAAACTCAGGAGCAACTCCAGATAGCTTATGTGGCTTATTTGTAAGAATAGCCAGTTGATCTGCAAGTAACGCAGAAGATTCCGACCATACCTCTCTTTGCAAAACTTCTAAAATCAAAGTTCAGATTTTGAACCTGGCTGACTCACCCCCTCCCCAATTTCGATTTTCAGAAACTCAATTTTGATTGCCTTACGTTGAATAGCTTATAACTATTTTCAGAGAATAATCCTATTTTTAACAAAATGCGAAACCCAGAATTTTTCTTACGTTAACAATTGCTTATCTTTTTTCAGGGGCTGATCAATGATTTCTTCGCGGGAGGGGGCTCCCGATTTTCAAATTTTTTAAATAAAAAGTTTTTTAGGCCGACCAAATTGGTTTTCTAAATTGAGGTCGAGCAGATTTATTTACCAAATTGATTTCTGATTTTTAAAAAAAAAAAAAGGCCTAAAATGCCATTTTTGGGCACTTTTGGAACTTTTTTTGATAAAAAATTGCGTTTATTTGCGCGAACTTCCTCTCAGAATTAGTAAATATTGCGCCCTAAATGCCTTTAGAGAACTCTTAAGATAGGTTGCAGCTACCCACAAACATTTATTTAGTTTCTAGTCGCTGTCTTATTAAAAATTTTCAAGTTTACTATCTTCATTAGCTCTTGATACTTTCAGAGTGTCAATAGAGCCTTCTCTTTTGAAGAGACCGAAAAATATTTTCTGCCGTTCTAAGAGAGAAGACAAGTAACCAAACTTCATTGACCATTCAATGTTATCGGGAGATGTTGAAGATTATTAAATTTATTGATGTTGAAAAGATAGCGACTAGCTACCATGTATGATTTTTTCGGTCGCTGAGGCGATGAAAGACTTCTTGTTTCGTTTACTCTTAAGTCTGAAGAATGCAACTGATCAGACCGTTTTGGGCAGCACCGAAAAACCATTTCAGTGTTTTTTTTGCAGTCCGAGTAATGCACAAAAACTGTCTAACACTACGCAACTTCTCATTTTGTGGTCAAAACAAAATTGTACTCAGAGGATGAGCAAAGACCTTTCGACAACGGGTATACAGTCAGGGGCGGATTTAGGGGGGGCGGGGGGCGGGGGGCATACGCCCTCCACTTCCCCCCCCCCCCCCCCCCCCTCAGGGATCCGACCGCCTGCCGACCCAAAGGGTCCCCCCTTTGATACTTTTTCAGAAATCCATTTTTGGCCCACCGACCCTAAAATTTTTCTAAAGGCGCCTTGGGCGCCAATATATACTAACTTTGAGGGGGAGCGCGCGCCAAAAAAAAACGCGATTTTTTTGTCAAATTGTTTCAAAAAGTGCCCAAAAACGGCTTTTTTGACTGTTTTTTTGAAAATCCGCCCCCGCCCTCGAGAAAATCCTAGATCCGCCCCTGTATACAGTGCTGGTTTATCGCTATTACCAAGTTTTTGGCAACATTGGTGACCATGAGCAGTGTAGTCGGCCAAAAACAATGTAAACTTAGATCAAATAGATTTTTGGACACTGTTTTTGTTTTGAACAATCAGCGAAAAACTGAAATCCAAAATCAGAATGAGATGCTATAGATTATTTAACCTCGTTCAGTTTCGTGGACCAAAAAGGATAGTGCCAACAACTTAGTATTAATGTGGTACTGTGTAATACTGTTGCCACAGTAACCTTGGAGAATTATTATGATTAATAATCTGTTATGTATTGTTATTACTTATTCAAGGCCAATCTAGCAGGCCTAATGCAACAGTGATTTGGACGGTAGTGAAACCAAGTGGCAGGGAGTGATCAACAAGATCTCTGAACAAAAAGATCATTGACAAGAATTTTAAATTAAAGATATAAACTCTTCTGTTTTCACTAACTAACTAAGAACGAAGTATTGGATTATCACATGGCGCAGCCAGCAGGATTCATGTCTCAAGATAATAGAATAGATATGGGAATTCCTGTATTCTGGACAACGGCGAATTCGGATCCTCCTTGGAATTTCAAGATATGGTTAGATCAATTCCTATTGGCAGTTACAGTTAAGGAGAGCGTGAATCCTGAATTATTGTTCTGAAGAACCGAGAGAAATTCTGTTTGAGCCGTTACCACGGCCGGAGACACCAAGAGAACAGGAAAACGCACAAGCGATTGCAGAAAGAGAGGCTAGAGACAAACTGGCTCGGGACAGAGTTCTTTCGGAAAATGCAGAAAGGAGAGCTAGAGGACCAAAGGTCGGTCATAATGTATTTTATAATGAGGTACAGAAAAGAGTGGCCTCTAGATTATTCTTAGCGTTGGGAACAGAAGGAAAAAAGAAATTTGTGCAAAAGAATTCTCATACAGAAGTTTCAAAGCTATATTTTGGGAAATGGTTGCCTTAGCAAAAGTATCATTTGATAAAACACAGAGTTTTACTTATGAACGCTATAAGCTGTTTAATCGAGCGCAGGAAACAGGTGAAACATCAGAAGCATTTCATGCAGCATTAACTGCGCAGGCAGCTAAAGCGGAGTTAGGGACACTTGAAGACGAATTGGTTCGTGATCTATTCATATCGGAAATGAGGCACTGAGGGATACATTAACGTTCGAGACTTTTACACCAGGGGAAGTACTGAAGAGAGCATTGAAATTTGAACAAAGCAAACAGACAACACAGGCATTTCAAAAATAAAACACAATGACTGCAGGTGCAGTTCAGGCTCATAGAACAATGAAAAAAAAACAAGAACCGATCATGAATGTGGGTAACAAGACCACAAACAGTCGGAGACAATCGAGAGAACCGTACAAGAAGAGAGCACCACTTGACAGGAGAGAGGGAAGAAACTCATCGGATAGAAAAACGTGTACTCGATGTGTTCGGTTATTTGAGAAGGTCATTTGAAGAAATGTCCGGCCATGGGCAAAAGATGTAAAAATTGTTCCAAACAAAATCATTTTGCAAAAATGTGTAGGTCACAACAAGTGAATGAAATCGCTGAAAAACGTCTAGCTCAGATGAAGAGTGTAATTTGATTCAGTCTTTTGACTCATGCGATAATGGCAATAGAATCGGAGACTTCGTCGATGAAGCAGATAAATGAATATATAAAACAGCAACCGAAACGAAAATTAAAGTTTGGGGATAGCGGTAAAGACATACAAAAGGTTGATATTCGCAGGAACCCTCGATCACAACAGATAAAGTCGTTAAAAGCATTAGTCAGAATTGATCACCAAATTATCAATATGACTATTGACCCAGGTATTCCAGTATCATTCTTAAATTGGTCGACAGCGAAACAAATTCTAGAGTCTTCCAAAAATACGAAGTTCAATCCACCGGAGAATCTAAATTTGACAGCTCAATTTGTAGACTACAATAAACAGCCAATTAATATTTTGGGAGCAATCACCACAACCATCCGTTCGGCAGGGTGGGAATTAGTGGGGGCATTGTTCCTGATCACAGAATGGCGCACAAGATGCATATTGGGGTTGGACTTACAGAACAAAGTGGGGATACACACAACACAAAAGCTGGCACCAAAAGACAAGACGAGGTTTGACATGCTACTGTGCGAACAGTCAGAAGGTTGGAAAAACAAATTTTATGGCAAATTTAAGAACCTTTTTGATCGTCCGGGTTGCTCGAAAATCATGTTGTCAGTACAAAGTTCAAATATCCACTTTGTCCATTACAAGAGAAAGGGAGAAGAATCTCAATACACATCCAGTAAAAGGTACATGAAGAAATGGAAAAATTGTTAAAAGAAGGGCATATAAAACGTCTGGACAAATGTACTTGCGATTTTTTTATAGCACCAATTGTAATCACTGTGAAAAAAGATGATTCCATAAAACTGGCTTTAGATGCAAAACCTATCAACAGGCAGTTGTTCAAAAACAAATATCATATGCCTAATGTTGACGAGTTATTAGATGGGGTTAGTCAAATAGTAACAGCAAATACAAAAGGTACTTTGTATTTCTCAGTATTAGACTTGAAGTATGCGTACAGCCAATTAAAGTTGACTGCAGAGACAGCAAAATAATGCAACTTTAACATCATAGGCGGACAAGCCACTGGAACGTACAGGTTTCTCACTGGATTCTATGGGCTTGCGGACATGCCAGCAGAGTTCCAAAAGGCTATGGATAGAACTCTAAATCATGCGAAAAACACAATCTGTTTCCTTGATGATATACTCGTTGTACCGAAAGGGAGTGAACAAGAACATGAAAAATTGATAATGAACGTTTTGGAAAAACTCGACAGAGAAAACCTGGCATTGAAACTGTCGAAATGTGAATTCTTTCAAAATGAGCTGAATTGGCTGGGGCACAAGTTATTGTCAGAAGGCATTTCACCGAAAATAACAAAAACGGAAGCGATATTGAAGCTCAGTCCGCCAAAATCATTGAAACAATTTAGGTCATTTATGGGTAGCCTAAATCATTTGGCTAAATTCATCCCTAACGCGGCTAGTTTTACAAAAAAACTTAGACCTCTTTTAGAAGAGAATGAGAAAAAGAAACTTAGAAGTGTGAAAATTCAAGTTAAAAAATTCGAATGGGGGGAAGAACATTCGGAAATATTCGAATTGATAAAAACAGCGGTTGCGAATATAACTAAAATCCATTATAATGACATAAAGATGGCTACCAGAGTAAAATGTGACGCTAGCCATAGTGGGTTAGGCGCAACGTAAGAACAACAGAGAGCCGAGGGGGATTGGGTACCAATTACACTCGCGTCGAGGTATTTGAACATTCATGAAAAGAAATACTCGACGAATGAGCTGGAACTGTTAGCAGTAGT